TATGAAATTCAACTATCCAGTACAGTGGTCAGAATTTAGCAATTTGCAATTTCACACATATTTCAAAAGATGCCAATTTCCGAATAGGGTCCAGAATAAACAAGAAAGACATTCCTGGCACTAAAATGACACTTCCTCTAGTCATTATTCACGTCTCAAGGCCCCTTATATATTTTTGCTTTCCACTTTAAATATTATTTCACAAAAAATATAAGATTTATGTTAGCAGATACTGATTAGATGATAAAAAATGGTATAAATTATTGGTGCACGTTTGAAAAATATTAGATAACCAGTTGACGTGTATTGCAGCTTGGGGAGCGATTTATTTACTTTTGAATTTAGTTAAAAATAACGAAAGTCATTTCTCTTACTTTTGGTAATTTCAAGGACCTCTCTTATGTAACCAGTCAAAATATCTCTCTTTCTTGAATATAGTCTGCTCCATTACTATAAATGATGACAAGTAACTGAATTACAAATAATACCTTACGAATAATACATGCAAAGGTCACTGTTTATTCAAAAAAATTGGTCAAGTTTTTTTTATTCATCATTATGCACTTACTAGTGTCTCACGGATATTTTTTAGAATGTGACATGACCAATAACCAATTTATCATAATGAATGGCGCTACATTTGCTAATAGATTGATGGCCGCTACGAATTTATGAGTACAGTACTTCAAAACCCCTACGTCGGTAAAGTACTAGTACGACGAAAAACCTACAAAATGGGTTTAATTCTGTAAGAAATATATTATATATATATATATATATATATATATATATATATATTAATATATATATATATATATATATATATATATATATATAATATATATATATTATACTGTATATATATATACTGTATATATATATATATATTATATATATATATATATATATATATATATATATATATATATATATTATATATATAAATATATAGGGAAGTACCACCTCTATAGCTGGAATGGGGACCCTCATCCTCAGAGAAGACAATAAACGTACCTCAGAGAAAACTCAAGGTTCTCCCCGGAGCTGTTTGAATATTTTCTTCTCCTACCACCCCCTATATATGTTTTATTCTATGTGAACATTTATTAATAAACAAAATACATTTACAGAAAAAAATCATAAACATGAATACAATGGCACAATGTATCAAAGATGATGAATTTCCTCCAGCTCCTCCGAGGCTGGACGTGAGCCAAGTATGCAGCAAGCATTTCCCCTCTGGATGGCGACGCTGAGGCGCTGGAACATGAAAGTGGCTGCCCTTGGGTCCCTGGTGGTGTCGATGAGTCTGGAACCCAGTTCTTTAAGGAAACGTGTGGCATTTTTTCCCCATGATCCCAAGGTCTCTGATCCCACTGGGACAAATTGATACTGTTGGCTAATGTCCCTGTACTTGCTGAGCTTGTACTCCTCCCTGTAGTCAGCAGCTCCTCCCTGTCGCCCCACACTGTGATGGATATAGGTGTCAGCCAGTGTGGACACACAGGTATAGTCCCATGCTAAGAGCTTGCCATTCTTCCAAGGATAGATGGTGATCCCGTCGGGGCGGTTTGCTGGGTTGTGGGTATTGTTTGCTGCAAGTGATCGTGGCTCCCTCTCGGCAGGGCATCCAGCTGTAGCAAGGGTTCTCTTAATGATGTCATTGACCTCATTGTGTCTTGCATGCCAGCCCTTGGTTTTGGAACAGTTAAGACCATGTAGACCGTATTGGTCTGCTTGCACTTCGCGCAAATACACATATATTCTGTGTGAATTGGGGCAGCAAGGCGCAGAGCCACTGCAATACGGAGGGTCTTAGGGTCGAGTCGCGTTCCCATTGCCGATATGGGAACTGTTTGGAGGAAGTCCCCGGAGTGAGGTGCACTCACAGCCTGGAGACGGGCAATCTCCCTATCTGATGTTGCAGCCCTGAGCATGTTGGCAAGCACCTTTTCAGCAATTGGGCTATCCCAGCTTGACTGTTTGTGAGCCAGTGCTGCACTAGGGTTTGGTGCTGGAGCAGCAAGAGTCTCCCATTCGGTGATGGCACTGACATAGCTAGGGTCTTCTATTCCTGCTGAGTCACTGAGGGTGTCAGGAAGAATTTGTCTTATCAACTCGTTTGATGCAATGGAAGAGGATAGGAAAGCTGGTAGAGCAATCTGGGAGGATCTGCGTACTCCTAGCCTCCAAGCCTGACCGGAAGTGAGGCTTGCAACCACTGTCCATCGTCAAGGGAAAGATTCAATACACTCTCTAGCATGGCCTTCAGGAGAGAGTCATATTCCTTGAGTTTTGGACTGCTGAAGGCTGGGGAGCATCTCAGAAAATAGGTAAGTTTTGGGGTTGACAGGCACCTGGTGAGTAGGTAGAAGGCATCGTGTGTGTCAATGTCTTTCATCCTGCTTTCCATCGTCCGGAGGTCTGAGACTTTTTTTCCTAGGACCAGATCGATGGCATTGGACCCAAGAGGAGCACCGAGGAGAGTGCTATTGGCTGGATCAATGGCTCGTGCTCCTGGTAAAACGGTACTAATATTCTGGATCAACTGTTGATTGGTAGAAACTATTTCACATTTGGTGGGGTTTAAAGAAAGGCCCAGGCTTTCTCCCATGTCTTTAATTTTACTGATGTCCTCCAGGAGAGATTCTGTTGTGCCAGCCAGGGTACCGTCGTCCAGGAACCAGATATTGAGCTCGCTGGAGAGTGCCTCCGTGACTTCCTTGATGTATATATATATATATATATATATATATATATAATGTATCAAAAACATATATACTATAACGATTTTTTATATAATATTATTTTAAAATCGCAATAATTTTGGCCTGGCATACCGAATTAAAAACCGCCATTACCGAATATTTCGTACGAAGACGCAGTTCCATGTGCCTACAGCCAGTTCCTCTTCATTGTATGCCGCCCTTCCATTTTTTACTCCAGCCTCCGCGGTTAACATCCAAGCATACACTAATTATTTCGTATTATTACAGTATATTGGTTATTTGCCTGGAAAAATAGTGACCAGGGCCCCAAGAAAGTTAGTTGCACACCTGTGGTTAATAAAGGGTGGAATTAGTATGGAAATTAAGAAAGATTTTGAAGGGTTTGGGGCTAACCTGAGAAGCCTATGCCAGTTGTGGAATCCATTGTGCCTACTTCAAAGATTAAGGAAATGTGTGCAGAGTGGGTTGAACTGCAAACCTTTATAGATGAAAATCACCCTGACACAGCTGTTGCAAGCCGTGCTTGTGACTATTTCAATGACAATGTTATGGCCCATTTTAGGAAAGTCTTGAAGGAACGGGAGGTACAGAGCTCTATGGACAGATTTGTTGTGCGACAGAGGTCCAGTGACTCTCAAGCTGGTCCTAGTGGCATTAAAAGAAGAAGGGAAGTAACCCCAGAAAAGGACTTGCTACCTTCAAGTCCTAATGGAAGGGGATTCCGATTCTAAACAGTAAGAAGATAATGCTCTCCCTCTCCCATCCATCAATCATCACCAGATCTCAATAAAAGTAAGTGTCATGTAATGTGCATGCCTTTTTCAGTTTGTGTGTATTAAAATTAAACATTTCATGTGGTAAAAAAAATTTTTTCATACTTTTGGGCGTCTTGCACGGATTAATTTTATTTCCATTATTTCTTATGGGGAAAATTCATTCGCAAACGATTATTTCGCATAACGATGAGCCTCTTGCACGGATTAAAATCGTTAACCGGGGTCCACTGTATATATATATATATATATATATATATATATATATATATATATATTATATATATATATATATATATATTATATTTTTTTTTTTTCAAAATTTCTTGGACACGAGCACCACTTCAGATTTTGGCCTTGGACCCTGAAGGGTTAAAAGATGCCAATTTCCAAATAGGGTCCAGAATAAACAAGACAAACATTCCTGGCACTAAAATAACATTTCCTCTGTTCATTAGTCACATCCCCACGCCCCTCTTACATTTCTTTTGCTTTCCACTTTGAATTTTTTTCTCTCAAAAAATAGAAGATTTACTGTTATGCAGACTACTGCATTAGTGTAGAAATGGTATAAATAATATCAGCGCACTTGTGAAAGAATATTAGGCTCACCAGTTCATGTGTATTGGACACTTGACATGATTTGTTTACTTCTGAACTTTGGCAAAAATCAAACATTTCTGCTACTTCGAGCTCAATTTCAAGGCACTTTTCATTGTGAAACCAATCAAAATCATCACAATTTCTGTAATATGTCTTCCATTTTATAAAATGAGACCAGGAAAACTAGAATGCACAATAAATACTATACGAAAATACAATACAAAGTCGCTGTTTTAAACCAAAATCAGTCAAAGTTTTTTTTTCTCATTATGCACTGTGTGCTTCAGGATTTTTTTTATACTGTATGCACTGACCACATAGACCCATTCTTTCATATGTAGGCCTACCATCTGTCTTGCTAGATTTGAAGGTGCTAGAATTTAGGTGTACTAGTGCATCAATAACCCTGAAAGGGTTAACAATGATTCGTCTAACACTGCATTTTCAGGAACGTAACTACCATCTTAATCGATTGTCTACTGTACTTGAATTGTTGTGTGTGCACTTCTACCAAAAGAACTGTTGAATAAATGTTTGTTAATGTGTGTAATGTTTTGGTCATCCCAACTTGGATGATGGTGTCTGATATGATTAAAATAATTTGCTTAAGCATTGCAAATTTTGTTGCAACACTTTCTTTTTACAGATTGACAATGTATTGCATTAATTAATACTATTGTATAAGAACTATTTTGAGTAGTACTGTACAGTAATGCATTTTGACTGTTTACTTCAGTTGAACTGATATTACATTTTCTTGATTTGTGCTCAGAATTGCAATATTTTACACTCAGTTTGATCTTGTGGTAAACTTGGACTATTTAAACCAAGCTTGATGGATGCTTCCCTATAATACATTATAGGTTCATCAATAAATGACAGTGTTTTGTTGCAGTGAATGTGTTTGAGTTGTTTACGAGAGTGCAGCAGTTTGGTGGGTACGAGGCTGTTGGAGAGAAAAAACACTGGAAGCAGTTATATGAAGAGATGAGTGGCAACTCTAACTCCTCTAATCCTCCACAAAGTGCACAGTCTTTCTCCAGCATATTGAAACGACATTATGAGAGGTACTAGTAGTTTATGACGATCAGTCATTCAAATTAATTTATGCAATATAATGTTCATGTTCATCCATTTTCATATATTGATAATTTTTTAAGGCATAAAATTTAGTAGCCTTCATACGATTCTTGTTTTACTAGAAAATATATGAAGAGGTGTTTTTTATTAAAGACTTAGAAGCTGTGTAAACAACATAAATAAGATTTTAGGAAGTATGTTTTGACTGATTATGTGTGAGTGAGGTGAAAGTGTTGAATGATGATGAAAGTATTTTCTTTTTGGGTCACCATGCCTTGGTGGAAGACGGCCAACTTATTGAAAAAAAAAAATTGTCCAGTCTTTTTTTAAATGTGTACACTATTCAATATTCCTAAGATATAGTGAGCAAAATTATATGAAACATAAGAACATAAGAAAGAAGGAACACTGCAACACGCCTACTGGCCTATGCGAGGCAGGTCCAAGTCTCCCACCAGCTTAAGCCAACGCCTTGACCTAGTCAGGTCAGTCACATCACTTAAGGGAGGAGCACGGCATCCGACCTAGTAGCACAAGCTAGTCAGGTCCAACTCACACCTTCCCACACCCACTCATGTATTTATCTAATATATTTTTAACCCTTTGACTGTTTTGGTCGTATTTATACGTCTTACGAGCCAGTGTGTTTGACATATTAATATGCCAAAATTCTACCGGGTTTAAATCAAGCAGAGGAAAGCTGGTAAGCCTACATGTGAGAGAATGGGTCTCCATGGTCAGTGTGCGCCATATAAAAAATATCGGGGAGCCAGTGGTGCATTGTGGGAATGCCATTTCAGTAGTCCTTGTTGAGCATGCCTAGCAGTAAGAAATATGTGACTCCTCAGCAAATCTGGGACACTTCTCTTCCCAAGTGATCGCTCTAACACAGATGGAAGTGTCAATGAAGATCATTTTCATGGTTTTGAGGAGTTTGTGACCGAAAGCAATGTCCCCGGGCCCCTTACATTTCTTTTGCTTTCCACTTTGAATTTTTATTTTCACAAAAAACAGAAGATTTACTGTTATGCAGTCTGCTGCATTAGTGTAGAAATGGTATAAATAGTATCAGCGCACTTGTGAAAGAATATTAGACTCACCAGTTCATGTGTATTGAACGCTTGGCATGATTTGTTTACTTTTGAACTTTGGCAAAAATCGAACATTTCTGCTACTTTGAGCTCAATTTCAAGGTACTTTTCATTGTGAAACCAATCAAAATCATCTCAATTTCTGTAATATGTCTTCCATTCTATAAAATGAGACCAGGAAAACTAGAATACAACCATAAATACCATACGAAAATACAGTGCAAAGTCGCTGTTTTAAACCAAAAACACGGTCAAATTTTATTTTCTCACTACGCACTGTGTGTTGCAGGATTTTTTTTATACTGTGCACACTGACCACATAGACCCATTCTTTCATATGTAAGCCTACCAGCTTTCTCTTGCTAGGTTTGAAGGCACTAGAATTTAGGCCAACTAGTACGTCAATAACCCTGGTGCGTAAGCTGTACTAGTACGTCGGAAACCCTGAAAGGGTTAAATTAAAGAGGGCAATTTTCTGTTTGGTATAAGGCCAAAAATAAAATTTTAGGGCCAGTACTTACCGAGATATAAGACTATAAATTTGGCTGTGGATGCTTGCCTGACAGCAACATCCAGTCCTGCCACTTGCAGAAGGTTGCTGATTTAGCTTGTTTCTCGTTTTTGTTTTAATTTATATAATTTTTATGTTCTGATAATTACAATTTATAATAGTTCTTGTGATTTCATAGACAATCTTTATTCTGACACTAATATTATGTACTGTAATGGTACTCAAATTGTAACAATCACACTGACAGGTGAACATTTTAACCTGCCCTGGTCATTTACTATTGTGTAGAAATATATATATTTATAGGTCTCAGCAATGTTTTAGACACACTGGAGTATGAAACTCCTTGAAGCATGATGTTATGACAAGGGTCAGAATGTGCCCTGCTGGAAGGAACCTTGCCTTTATATATTTTTACTCTTGCACACAAGAATGTGTTTGTATGTCTGTCTGTCAGTCTATCTGTCTGCCTATCTGTACATCTATCTGTCTGTCTGCCTAGCTCTGCTTATCTGTCTGTCTAGTTCTGCTTATCTGTCTTTCTGTCTGTCTGTGGGTGTCTGTCTTTCCATCTGCTCGTCTCTGTCTCAGGGAGCGGCTAGTAAACCTGTTGGTTTGTGGTGTATGGGCGGCTCCCTGATTGCTGAGCAAGTAATGCTGCTATTATTTGTGTCATGTTTATTTATGTCTTATACCTACACTGTATAGTACTTGGCCTGGAATTTTTGGGTTATCCTAAGTAATTTACATTATGTATAATAACTGTATTTATGAGTACATGTGAGACAGAGATACAGATAGACAGTGATATAGGCAGATAGACAGCTATAGATAGACAGAGATATAGACAGACAGACAGAGATATAGACAGAGATATAGACAGATACAGACAGAGACAGCCAAAGCCAGCCAGCTAGCCAGCCAGCTAGCCAGCCAGCTAGCCAGCCGAATACATAAGAACATAAGAAAGAAGGAATACTGCAGCAGGCCTACTGGCCCATGCAAGGCAAGTCCATGTCACCCCTAGCTTAGACCAATGACCCACCTAGTCAGATCACATCCACTGAAAGAAGGAGCACGACATCTGACCCAGTAGTACAAGCTAGTCAGGTCCAACTCACACCCACCCACACCCACTCATGCATTTATCTAACCTATTTTTACTTTCCTCTAGAAATGTGAGTGTTAATATGACATGGCATCAGTGATTCACTGGTGTTTGCCACATTATTTGCTCTAGCTGGCACTCAGTTGAACTGGTGCTCCCACAAGGTACTAAGTGGTCCCCAATTTTTTTCATAGTATGCACACTGAGTGCATAGACCCATTCTTTCATGTCTAGGCGACTCAGGCCTATCACACCAAATTTGAAGGAATGAAAAATAAAACATTGATCTACGTTTGGAGCCCACCACACGTGAACGTATATCTATGTGTGGACAGTTTAAGGGTTATGTGTATTCTAACCTAATCACTCTGTAATTTGGCCGTGGCACTATCACTATCACCACCAATACCACCACCTACTGATGCCTGTTGTCTATCCATGCCAAGTGTAGCCACATCATCCTTCACTTTCACTGACTGTTCCTGGTGTAGGGCCACGGGATGCACTCTGGGATGTACTCCGGGATGTACTCTGTCCCCTGGGCACTGCATAGGGAACACTACCCGAGAGCATGCGGCGGCGTATATTCTTCTTCTTCTTCTTATGACCAGAGCTTTGGTAAGATGGGGAAGGAAGAAGGATGGGTAAGGATGGAAATATTGGAAAAGGGTGGGAGGGGAGAGAGAGGTAGGATATAAAAGGTAAGTGGCGTATATACCGATGCTTTACTGGTGAATATGATTCATCACTATCACTACTCGAATGATCGTCAAGAGCAATATAATCACAGTCCACATCACTATCATCATCATTACTGAAATCTGAAGCCTGGCCACGCAAAAATATTAGTTTTCTCTTGCGACAAGGCACAACTGAATGTGACCGAGACGTGCCCACACCAGAGGTAGAAGGTTGAGGATCTTCAGGATTTTCTGCACTATTTTTGATATCCTGGTCATTGCTTTCAGTCACTGATCGATCAAAGCCATAGAATTCTTCCTCTTTTCCACATCCATCAGAGTCAGAACTATCAGTTATGAAGAGGAGAGTCCCAAATCACCTCAGAGTGAGAGTTGCCTTGCGGTGAGGCATGGTGAACAAAGGTTACTGAGGCAGCGTTCCCACAGTACCATGCGGGCACCTAGAATTTTTGTTTATGGTGCACGCACACCACGCAGACCCGTTCTTTCAGATGTAGGCCTACCAGCCTTCTCGTGCTGAATTTGATGCCGTTAGAATTTTGGTGTAGATCTACGGTTTGTACCCTCAACGTATAGCCGTAGATCTATGGCACGGACCCTGAAAGGGTTAAAATGTTTTAACATGTAAACCACACATTGTAAGTTTTACAGGGAAATAAATATTTGTATTTGTATATGTTTATTTTGCATGTGATTTTTGCTTCATCTGCAGATATGTTCATTTAGTTTTTTATTCCTTTTGGCAAGTTATTTACATTGATTAGAAATGTCACTGGAATAAACACCAGTCCCTGGGGTACCCCACTAGCAACAGTACCCCATAAGGGCATTTACCTCGTATCATTGTTCTCCTATTTCTTTCAAGCTGGAAAACTCTCATTCACTGTAATAGTCTGCTTGGTTTCCATGTTCAACTTTTGTAATGAGTTCTAGAGACCTCTTCAAAATGTGTGTGTGTATATGTATGAATTATTTTTTTTCAACAAACTAGCCATCTCCACCAAGGTAGGATGACCCCAAAAAAGAAGAAACACTTTCACCATTATTCACTCTATCACTGTCTTGTCAGAAGGGCACTAATACTACAGTTCAAAACCTGCAGGCACTTTACTTCCCACCTCCAGAATTCAAGTCTGGTTAATTGGTTTTCCTGAATCCCTTCATATATGTTACCTTGCTCACACTCCAACAGCACGTCAAGTCATAAAAACCACTTTCCTCCACTCCTATCCAGCACGCTTACTGGATGTCTAAGCCTCTCATATACAAAAACCTCCTTTACCCCCTCCCTCCCAACCTTTCCAACAACAACCCTTATCCCTCCTTCCCTCCACTACAGTTTTATACGCCTTCCAAGTCATTTTGTTCCAACGTCTAAATGTCTGGACCACCACAACAACCCCTCTTCAGCCCTCTGCATAATACTTTTAGTAACCCTGCACCTCTTCCTAATCTCCAAGCCACACATTCTCTGAATAATACAGTATTCACACCACATACTGCCCTCAGACACAACATTTCCACTGCCTCCTGCCTCCTCCTTGCTGCAACATTCATATCAATTTTTTATTCATTATAAAATTTGAAGTTTGGGTAACTGAGTGTAATTTTGAATGGTATAAATTATTGACAAGATGATAAATAGACACTAATGCAATTAAATTAGAGCTTCATTGAAGATGTTTTGCCCAGGCAGTGTTTGCCAATAAGGGACTCCCTGTATTAACTTTAAAATTCTTTAATGTTTTGTGCAGAAGAATTTCTGCAGGAATTTATTTTTTTTATTACATTTTCTCCAAGTGGCAACATTTTATTTGTCTTTTGGGGAATATCTTTAAAAATGTTAACATGGGTTGTTTTGGTAGTGTGATAGAGAATACATAATAGGACACTCATTACTAAAGAACAGTAAATTATACTCCATGTTATTTCCTCATCTCTTGTGGCCAACTTTTTGTAAAAAACAGCACATAAAACATCTACGAGGCAGTTCAAGGTGCAGTATCTGAAAGGTTTGCTGTTTGTGGTACATGTACTTGTAAATAGAAAAACTTAAATATTGTATATAGTAATAGCAGTTGTTCTCTTCAGATTATTGTTACCGTATGAGAAGTTTTTACTACAAGAACAGAAGAAACTGTTAGGAATTGGCCCAGTGAAAGCATCCAAGGTTAAATCTGAACCAGGTGAACCCTCTGTATCCATCCTTCAAGTAAGTTGCCCACACACACACACACTACGCACTTGTTAGTACTTCATCATTCTACACTCTCCAATTAAACAATTAACTTGTTTTTTATAAAACAGAATGAAAAATTCAAGACTATATTGTATTTTCAGGCACTATGAACTCTCGCAAGTATATTACTGATATAAAGGTATAAAAATGTTGATATAATTTATGCGGTGAAACACGAGAGTCTGTCTGCTGAAGAATTGCTGTATCCACAATACATAATTAATATATACTCTGAAATTATTGTTTTATTGGACACACAAATATGAAACAGAGCCTAATGATTTTCATAGTTTGATATTATGCCTACATCTCAAATGGCAGTAGTTTTCTTTATTTTCTTTAACTATAGTATGGTTCCATATTTTCTACCTTTTATTGCTGAATGAGTTTTAAGTATTTCACTCTGGTTAACCATCCAGTGGCATACCATTATTTTCATGTTTAGTTATATAGTTATATCCTGCCTATTACCTAACTTACAAGTAGTGTGATGCGACTTTTTCCTAACTTTTGTAGTAAATCTGTAGCATGGTTGATATTTCTTAGTAATTTTAGTTGATATCTTTTTCAGGGTATATGTTCATCTAAGTAGCTATCACTAATATATTGGAATGAGTCCATGATGTTTCTTCACCTAGCATGATGGTATAACATTGAGAAGTATTTCTAATTTGAATCTTCATATACTGTGTGCTTTTAAATTTAAGTAGGTTAAGACCTAAGGTCCACAAGGGTTCTCAGAATTAATGTATTTTATATCTAAAATCTACAAATCTTTTGAAAAGACTCTTAGTAACAGGTAATCTCAAATGAATGATATGTGTTTGTTGATGGTATAATTTATCTGAAGAATAAAAAGACACAATTCTTAGGCTGGAGCAATACACAAATATCCCACATTTAGGAGAGGGAGAGTAATGATCATATTTCACTCTGACTTAGACTATTGACAAGTCACACTGAGGGAAGAAAGCCAGAGTATATATATGAGAGGGGAGTGGAGGAAGAAGAGAGAGGTGGCAGTGGTAAAAGCAATAGTAGTATGAGTAGTAATGATAGTAATGAAAGTGCCAGTAGTAGTAGTGGTAGAAGCTGCAGTAGTGGAGCAGTGGTAGAGGTAGAAATAAGAAGGTATTGGAAGTAGTATAAATAAGAAAAGAGGGAAAAATTGTGGCAGACAGTATAGTAGTAATGAAGTAGTAGCAGTAGTTGTAGTAATAGTAGTAGTGATGATGGTAGTGGCAATGAATAAGAGGAAGAGAAGAGAGGAGCACTGCAGGAGAGCTACTGGCCCATAGGCATACACAAAAATCCTGCAAGATAAGAAAAAAAACATAAGACAGAACCCACCAAGACAGATAACAAGAAAGGCAATCAAATTACAAAAAAATTGAAGCAGTAAGGAGAGGAGGAGGCAAAGGTCAGGTCAAATCATAAATAAGTCTTCTGAGTGTTACATCCTCAACTTTCCTGTATTTTTCTTGTCTTTCTTGTCTTCTGCCCTGGTAGGTTTTGTTTTTAACCTATGGCTTAGTAGCTCTCCTGCAGTACTCCTCTCTTGTCTTGCTTTTATGTACTGCTGCTGACACCCATGCTATCCTCATAATTTTTCCCTTAATATTCCACTTATACTACCTCTACCACTGCTTCACTACAATTACTTCTTCCACTACTACTATTATTGCTGCTGCCTCCACCGCTGTTGCCAACAACAACTTCCACTATTACGTCTTTCTGCTTTGCCCCACCCATCCCACCCACTCTTGTATATACACGTATTCTGGCTTTTTACCCTTCATACTTTAGTGTGACTTGTCAGCGGTCCAAGTTGGGGAGAAATGTTATTACTTTCCCTCTTATAGCTACAGGTTATCTGTGCATAGCATCTCTGAAATTATAAAAGTATAATTATTTTGTGATGCTTAGAGTGCATGTAGAATAAATATTTTTGAACTATGCTTGAAGAGTAGGACATTATCTTATGAAGGTATTAGCTCATAAACCTGAAATTAGTTATATCAGCTAGAAACACAGTACATTAAATTTTCATTTGTGAAAATTGATAATGTGATCAAGTAATGAAGGTATTTTTTTATGAAGCCTTGTTTACCTAGAGTAAAAGTCACATGGATTACTGAATTGCAGCAATTTTCTCATAGCATCAATCTTAGTTTTGTTGTTGAATGAAAAGAACACATTACAAAGGATAATCTTAGATTACACATAAGGTAACAGAGAATATATATACATAAAATGAGGATAGTAAGTAAAGTGTTTGCTCCTTGCTTGGGCAAAGGGTAGAGTCTAGATGATGAGGAATGTGGTGGGAGTGGTGGTGCATGATGGGTGTTATTTCTCACAGCAGCATGTGCCAAGTGACACCAAGCCCTCTCTCAAGTTTTCGGGCAGCTGTCCTCAGTTGCTGCCTCCCCACGTTCCTCCTGGCCACCATGGTGGGGCACAGGAGGCACATGGGTTACCCAGTGGGCCTCACTCTGGGCCTTTAGGTGCCTCACCACCTGTGGGTACACCACCCCAAGCTAGCCCTGCACCACCCACCTCTATCAGTCCTCCAACAACACCTACAGAGTTGGCGGTAAGTTGACCTGCAGTGCCCTCTCACAGCCTGCTGCCACTGCCTGGTGACCTGGCTTGGTATGCCCTAACCCCATCTCCTGCTTGATCCCTGCCCACTGGGCATGACATGGAGCACACTCCTAGCAATGTGTAATCATTATCTTCAACAAATATTATGTAAATAATTTTTGACATACAAAAAGGGTATTTTGTATATAAAGTTGACCTGCATAACCTTAAGGCTATGATTAATAAAGTTAGCAAGAAGCTCAGTGTTTAGTTAGTGTAGGACCCAGTAAATACTAGAATAATTATCAAGCTGTGATGTTTACACAACATAGAACCCATAATTACCTATAGGTCATCTTCTCTTGCCTGCAGTATTAAGGTGCATGCTAGCTCACTTTTAGCTTTTTAGTAATAATTTATTTGCATTGTATCTAAAATTCTTTCACTGCATGACAAGATTGAACTAACTAGGCTGTATTGTATTTTGCATGACTTAGCTTTAACATCCCATGTTGCTGAAAGTGAGATGTGGATACAAGGTTGCTGCCATACTCCTAGTATCAGCATTGTTTTAACATTCACTCATCAAACAGTATGTTATATAAAATGCACTATTACTAATAGTGCATTTTATATTTATATTAACGTATAAATAACACTTAACACAAGCACATATAAATTTAGTAGTTGCACCCAGGACACTGGACTACTATAATAGTAAATAATTTCTATTTATTAAATTTTCATCTCAGTATTCTAGATGAGAAAGGTTTAAAAAAATGTTTATTTTCAGACAGTGTTTGTAAATACCTTGATCACATTGAAGAAGTTAAAAAAAAATAATTTTTTTTTAATATTAGGATGGGGAGGGCAATGATGGGTAGTATTCTCAAAGAATTAAAGTGAAAGAGCACAGAAAGTAATTTAAAGTTGGTAAGCAATGAGCCAGGTGGATATTTTGGTGGAAGAGCTTGTATGGATCAGGTACAGTGGAACCTCTACTTATGAGCGTGTCCACGTGCGAGTTTTTCCAAATACGAGCAGTTGATGGGTCGATTTTTTGCTTCCATACGCAAGCAAAATTTCCACAAGCGAGCAGACCTCAAGGCAGGTTCCTTGACACTGGTGAGGGGCTCTTGCTCTTGCTCTTGATCTCGGGAATTGTATCTCATTTGTTTGTTGGACTATCTTATTGAAACTTGGGCAATGTATGATGGAAAGATGCTTCTTAATGTACACCAAAAATGAAAGAAATCTAAGCATAAATAATGGAGTTCACTTTTCAGCAATTAATTTCGAATGGTTTTTATGGTTGTATTCTCGTTTTTTTGGTCTCATTTGATAGATTGGAAGATAAATTACAGAAATATATATGATTTTGATTGCTTTCACAACGAAAAGTACCTTGAAATAGAGCTCAACCTAGTAGAAATGGTCCATTGCTAGGCTGTTTCAGTGTAAACAAATGACGTCACAGTAAATCTTATATTTTTTGTGTGAATAAAAATTACAAATTATTTATATAATAATAATGAGGTAGTAGGTTGGTAGACAGCAACCACCCAGGGAGGTACTACCGTCCTGCCAAGTGAGTGTACAACGAAAACCTGTAATTGTTTTACATGATGGTAGGATTGCTGGTGTCTTTTGTCTGTCTCATAAACATGCAAGATTTCAGGTATGTCTTGCTACTTCTACTTGCACTTAGGTCACACTACACATACATGTACAAGCTTATATATACACACCCCTCTGGGTTTTCTTCTATTTTTTTTCTAGTTCTTGTTCTTGTTTATTCCCTCTTATCTCCATGGGGAAGTGGAACAGAATTCTTCCTCCGTAAGCCATGCGTGTTGTAAGAGGCGACTAAAATGCTGGGAGCAAGGGGCTAGTAACCTCTTCTCCCATATAAATTACTAAATTTAAAAAGAGAAACTTTCGTTTTTCTTTTTGGGCCACCCTGCCTTGGTGGGATACGGTCGGTGTGTTGAAAGAAAGAATAATAATAATGATAGAAATCTAAGCATAAATAATGGAGCTCACTTCTCAGCAATTAGCCACCCCTTAGTGGTATTTTCGTATGGTTTTTATGGTTGTATTCTCGTTTTTTTGGTCTCATTTGATAGAATGGAAGATATATTACAGAAACAGATATGATTTTGATTGCTTTCATAATGAAAAGTGCCTTGAAATTGAACTCAACCTAGGAGAAATGGTCCATTGCTTGGCTGTTTCAGTGTAAACAAATGTCCATTCCAATATGCAGTCGTGAATGGGTTGACATATTTATACAATAAGGAATAACAGTAAATCTTATATTTTTTGTGTGAATAAAAATTACAAATAATTTATATAATAATAATAATAACAATAATGATGATAATAATAATAATAATAATAATAATACTGTACATATAATAATAATAATATACAATAATAATAATAATAGTAGGTAGTAGGTTGGTAGACAGCAACCACCCAGGGAGGTACTACCGTCCTGCCAAGTGAGTGTAAAACGAAAGCCTGTAATTGTTTTACATGATGGTAGGATTGCTGGTGTCTTTTGTCTGTCTCATAAATATGCAAGATTACAGGTACGTCTTGCTACTTCTACTTACACTTAGGTCACAATACACATACATGTACATGTTTATTTATACACACTCATCTGAGTTTTCTTCGATTTTATCTTAATAGTTCTTGGTCTTATTACTTTTCCTTTTCTATCCATGGGGATGTGGAATAGAATTCTTTCCTCCGTAAACCATGCGTGTTGTAAAAGTCAACTAAAATGCCGGGAACAAGGGCTAGTAACCCTTTTCCTGTAAAGATTACTAAAAAGAATAAGAAGAAGAAAATTGTCAGAGTGGGAACGCTCGTGGATGGCGGTGGATGTTGGCAAATGATAAGAAAGAAATGATTGATGGATAAGTAATATGAATGAGATAGAAATGGAATGTCTGCTTTAAGTGAAACAAACTGAAAGGGGGTGGGAGAGTTTCCAATGGGAGGAATACCCTGGGAGTTAAGGCTTAGGTGTTTCATATAGAGTTAGAGCTAAAGAAGGAGTAGCAATAATGTTGAAGGATAAGCTATGGCAGGAAAAGAGGGACTACAAATGCATAAATTCAAGGATTATGTGGAGTAAAATAAAGATTGGATGGGAAAAGTGGGTTATAGTAAGCGTGTATGCACCTGGAGAAGATAGAAGTGTAGAGGAGAGAGAGAGATTCTGGGAAATGTTGAGTGAATGCGTGGGGAGTTTTGAATCAAGTGTGAGAGTAATGGTGGTTGGGGATTTCAATGCTAAAGTGGGTAAAAATGTTATGGAGGGAGTAGTAGGTAAATTTGGGGTGCCAGGGGTAAATGTAAATGGGGAGCCTTCAATTGAGCTATGTGTAGAAAGAAATTTGGTAATAAGTAATACATATTTTATGAAAAAAGAGGATAAATAAATATACAAGGTATGATGTAGCACTAATGAAAGTAGTTTGTTAGATTATGTATTGGTGGATAAAAGGTTGATGGGTAGGCTCCAGGATGTACATGTTTATAGAGGGGCAACTGATATATCAGATCATTATTTAGTTGTACTACAGTTAGAGTAAGAGGTAGATGGGAAAAGAGGAAGGTGGAAACAACAAGTAAGAGGGAGGTGAAAGTGTATAAACTAAGGGAGGAGGAAGTTCGGGCGAGATATAAGCGACTATTGGCAGAAAGGTGGGCTAGTGCAAAGATGAGTAGTGGGGGGGTTGAAGAGGGTTGGAATAGTTTTAAAAATGCAGTATTAGAATGTGGGGCAGAAGTTTGTGGTTATAGGAGGGTGGGGGCAGGAGGAAAGAGGAGTGATTGGTGGAATGATGAAGTAAAGGGTGTGATAAAAGAGAAAAAGGTAGCTTACGAGAGGTTTTTACAAAGCAGAAGTGTTATAAGAAGAGCAGAGTATATGGAGAGTAAAAGAAAGGTGAAGAGAGTGGTGAGAGAGTGCAAAAGGAGAGCAGATGAAAGAGTGGGAGAGGCACTGTCAAGAAATTTTAATGAAAATAAGAAAAAAATTTGGAGTGAGTTAAACAAGTTAAGAAAGCCTAGGGAAAGTATGGATTTGTCAGTTAAAAACAGAGTAGGGGAGTTAGTAGATGGGGAGAGGGAGGTATTAGGTAGATGGCGAGAATATTTTGAGGAACTTTTAAATGTTGAGGAAGAAAGGGAGGCGGTAATTTCATTCACTGGCCAGGGAGGTATACCATCTTTTAGGAGTGAAGAAGAGCAGAATGTAAGTGTGGTGGAATTACATGAGGCATTACATAGAATGAAAGGGGGTAAAGCAGCTGGAACTGATGGGATCATGACAGAAATGTTAAAAGCGGGGGGGGGGGGGGGGGGGATTATAGTGTTGGAGTGGTTGGTACTTTTGTTTAATAAATGTATGAAAGAGGGGAAGGTACCTAGGGATTGGCAGAGAGCATGTATAGTCCCTTTATATAAAGATAAAGGGGACAAAAGAGATTGTAAAAATTATAGAGGAATAAGTTTACTGAGTATACCAGGAAAAGTATATGGTAGAGTTATAATTGAAAGAATTAGAGGTAAGACAGAATGTAGAATTGCGGATGAGCAAGGAGGCTTCAGAGTGGGTAGGGGATGTGTAGATCAAGTGTTTACATTGAAGCATATATGTGAACAGCATTTAGATAAAGGTAGGGAAGTTTTTATTGCATTTATGGATTTAGAAAAGGCATATGATAGAGTGGATAGAGCAGCAATGTGGCAGATGTTGCAAGTTTATGGAATAAGTGGTAAGTTACTAAATGCTGTAAAGAGCTTTTATGAGGATAGTGACGCTCAGGTTAGGGTGTGTAGAAGAGAGGGAGAATACTTCCCGGTAAAAGTAGGTCTTAGACAGGGATGTGTAATGTCACCATGGTTGTTTAATATATTTATAGATGGGGTGTAAAAGAAGTAAATGCTAGGGTGTTCGGGAGAGGGGTGTGATTAAATTATGGGGAATCA